GTTTTACGGCACTTGCAACACAATAAGGTCATATAAGTGTCGAAGATCAGGTGTTACAAGAGTGTTTTTAGCTTTAGCAAGAGTTTTACGGCACTTGCAACACAATAAGGTCATATAAGTGTCGAAGATCAGGTGTTACAAGAGTGTTTTTAGCTTTAGTAAGAGTTTTACGGCACTTGCAACACAATAAGGTCATATAAGTGTCGAAGATTAGAGGAGTTACAAAAGAGTAATAAACACAAAAAAGAAGGAGGAGAGATCAAGACGATAGATGTTAGATAGGAAAGAATTAGCAAACCACACCAGTGAGCACCCGCCAACCACCCTCAAGGAACAAAGTCAACAGAGGCGTCTTCGCCAAATTCCTAGAACAAAGTGAACCGAACGAATGTTTGCCCAACGTAATGGCGAGTTTGAGAAAGATACAGATAGAGCTCTCATAGGACAACAGTGTCGCCATGAGCACGCGATCATCTCCCCCCGGGGGCAGTGCTACTGAGACTGAAGTGTCTGTTGGCCATTCCCAGAGAGGGGGGTGGGGGACATTAACATCTCGAATTCTTATGCACAGTAGAATTGTAATTGTAAATGGGTTTATTCATCAATGTCATGCTCATAACTGTGCCAGACCTGCAACAGGGAACTTCAACTGCTGCTTTTTCTTTCCTAATCCTTACTATCATCATTTTCCTCTACTTCTTTTGTATGTTTGTCACACTCTTGTGAACTGCTATTTCCCAGGGTGCCTTGATAGTCGAAGCAGACATTGTGCTGTTGAAGCTAGAGAGGTGTGCAGAGTAAGTCTGACTCCCTGTAAGGACTTCTCTGTTGACATTCACCCCTTGGCGCTCATATGACCTTATGCAGTTGCGAGTGCCGTAAAACCTCTACTAAAACTAAAATCCCGGACAGTCGCAGCAAACTCGAGACAGTTGGAAAACACGCCGGGCGATTTCTCACGTGCGCAGCAGGCCATGTTTGTTTTGTTTGTTTGTTTGCCTGTTCGCTATTTTTTAGTAAAAAGAAGCGCATCGACACAACACTGATCATTTGGTGCTGGTAAAAAGTAAGACAGAAAGAGAGATAGAGCAAAACAACAGAATGAAAGTAACGAGGAGAGATTTAAAGGATGATAGATGTTTGATAGGAAAGAAGGAACAAACCACACCACAGCACCCGCCAGCCACCCACGTCTGAAGTCCCTCTGGTCATTAAAACCACGACAGGCGGCTATGGATCCATACGTCACACGGTAACCTTAATCTGACGTTTGATTAAGACATACAACCCCCCCCCCCCCCCCCCCCCACCTTCCACCATCCCTAATCCTCCCATAATCCCCCAGTGTCAACCCTGTCCGCCACCCATCGCTTCCGAGTCTGGTCAATGAGTTTTTGGTTTTGTTTTGGTAAGGGCAATGTTTGATGTACGGTCAACCGAATCCAGCGAGCTGTTGTTTCAGTAGAAGTTTCACGGAACTTGAAACACAGTAAGGCCATACAAGTGCCGAAGAATAGAGGTGTTACAAGAGAGTAACATACACAAACAAGAAGGAAATATAAGGACGATAGATGTTTTAATAGAGGTTTTAGTTTCAGTAGAGGTTTTACGACGCTCGCAACTGCATAAGGTCATATGAGCGCCAGAAGACTAGAGGTGTTACAAGAGAGTAACAAAAATATAAAGAAGAAGGGTAGATAAAGACGATAGATGTTTCATGGGAAAGAAGAAGCAAACCACACCAGAGCACCCGCCAACCATCCACGAGGAGGAGAGATAAGGACGATAGATGTTTGATAGGAAAGAAGGAGCAAACCCCAGCAGAGCACCCGCCAACCCCCCATCAATGAGCTGTGGTATTCAGCTGTTTATCGGCGTGGACAGGAGGCCGGGGCGAGTCAATATCGTGAACAAGCTGCGTCAACAAACGACAAACTTGGGTGAAACAATGGAAAGGGGGAAACTACCTTTGGGGATGAGAGAAAAACAAGGCTGGGTGGGGGAGGGAGGGAGAGAGGGAGAGGGAGAGAGAGAGAGAGAGAGAGAGAGAGAGAGAGAGAGAGAGAGAGAGAGAGAGAGAGAGAGAGAGAAGGGGGTAGCTTTCTCTTCTCCTTTTCTCTCCACC